CGAGCCCGTTCCGCAGGAGAACGACGAAGGGGACGCCTAAAGACTCCATAGTCATATTCGTAGCTTTTACTTTCAAGTTTCTCCTTTAGGTAGTTTGATCTTTTATATTTTGTGAGCACGTTTTTGGTTTTAGTGTAAGGGATGTTAATCGAAATTTTGACTTCACTTCCGCATTTGATATTTTTAATATACATTTCATTTTAAATTTTCGGGGCCGTTACAGGCAGCCTTACTAGATATCCTGAAAGATGGTGGACGGATCGGGTACATAGAAAATCCTACCATGAACATTGCCTCATACTGAATGAGGTATCGAGAAATAGTATTTTTGGCACTCATACCAGACGGGGTATGGAGACGGTCCGATTCACCCTCATACTGGACAGAGTATTGAGGGATGATAGTTTTGGCGCTCATACCGGACGGGATCTAGAACGGCCGGTTAGTTGACAATGTTAAATATTGGTTCACGTGTAGTGGGACATCTTTATGGGCTCCCAATGATACCAGTATGCAAATAAAAAGGGAAAGTGGTTGTTGTTGCTCACTTGAAAATGAGATTAGAACGTTATTTGAATTATTATATCTGTATAAGTCGATTTTAGAAATCGCGCAACAGTAAATATATGCAATAAATGATTTTTCCTTATGATAAATGAATTTACTTAAATCAAGAGTTACATTAGTTATTTTTTTATGATTTTTACCAATCTTCAGTTTCTGTATCGGTGAATAGTGTGATATTCTTACTGAGTTAGTGTAGTTCATCCTTTCATTAATTATTTCAGATCAAGATGACCAAAATTCAGATCTCGATCAACAAGAGAGTTGTGAATAGTTACCACCCGAACTCCCTTCAAAAGATAGTGAAGGTCGTCATAGAATGCTCAGTATATTACTTTTTGTTTATTTCTTTAATTTTCGTTTGTTTCTTTTAGAATTGTCATTCTTGTAACCCTACTGGGTATTATAAATTATTGTGTAAGGAATGTAAATCTTAAACTCTATTATTTCACTTTCGCATTTAATTTATGATCTTATTACTTTTTAAGTTCTGGTCCTTTACACTTCCACTCGA